TCTGACTCACTGAAAAATGCCACTTCTTATTGTTTTGAGAATCAATATAATAATATACAACAATGCCCTTCCCCACACTGCCTCCCTATCACTTCTTCAAGAACTGGTGTTTACATTAGAGCCAGTTCTCCCAGATTCTTAGCTTAGTAGTAGCAAATTATGATGAGTTTTGTGTCAAAATAACTATAAGGAAAAAAGTCAGTTTGGCTGGACACGGTGGCACACCCCTGTAATCCAAACCCTTTGGTATGCCAAGGTGGGAGGAACACTTGAGCCTGGGCAACATAGCAAGACCCTGTCTCTATAAAAAAATAAATTAGCCAGGCATGGTGATGTGTGTCCCAGCTACTTGGAAGGCTGAGGTGGGAGGATCACTGAAGCCCAGGAGTTGGAAGCTGCAGTGAGCTATGATTGTGCCACTGCACTCAGACCCTGTCTTAATATACATATAATATTAATAATAATATACATAATATATAAAATAACATATAATTATATATAAAGATAGGGTCTGAGTGCAGTGGCACGATCATAGCTTACTGTAACTTCTAACATATATATGTATGTTTTAATCTTCAGTTAATTTCCTGGAAGTTTCTCTAGATCAGTAATTAGGGTGCGCAATGCTAAGGAATGGGACCTTCACCTCTCTCATAATCTTATAAAGATGAGATTATGTTTCTATTTTGTGCAGCTCTTGGTGCTTGTACTCTGAAGGTATGCAAAATATTTGTAAGCAATACAATTTCAGGATTAGAAAGAACCTGAAAGGGTCCTCTAGTTTAGGGATTTCTAAGCCTTTCTAATTTGGTATTCTACAGTGGGATACAGACATATGCATATTTTTCAAATCCATAGTTAATTCTGTGCACTCTTTTTAAAAATTGTAGTAGGAACACTTAACATGAGAGCTATCATCTTTATAGATTTTTAAGTATAGAATATAATACTGTTATCAATAGGATTCTAATGAATGCTTGGTGGAGGACCACAGTTGCATGATATAAAAGAATGTTTTTATGTTTATTTGCTTATAAAAAAGGAATATGAGATAGAATTTTAAGGATTTACAATTGACAGAATACATATTTCTTATAAAAGAAAACAATATAGACATGTATAAAACAAAAAGTAAAGTCCCTACTCCATCCCCAGGGGTAACTACTATTAATCATTTGTATATCCTTTTAAATTCTTGCCTGTTCAGAAGTGATTCAGATTTTTGTTGTCCCTCATGTTTAAATCTCACTTAAACATAGATGTAATAGTTCTTTTCAAGTCTCTTGCAGTTTTTTTTAAAAACTTGGAGATCAAATCCTATTATAATAAACATTCAAGAAAGTCTTTTGAATTTTGTCCACTTTTTTATAATGTATGTTCCTGAAGTTACATAAATCAGATTTTATGAATTATTAATGAACTTGCTATTTTAAATAAATCCTATAGTTAAAACTTAAATTTTATAGTAAAAAACTAAATAGTAGTATTCAGTGATACACTTCTTTTTCCAAAGTTGTTACAAATAATGCAAATTTTTGCAAATAGAATTTTGCTTTTCTATACATTATACTCCAGATATATGAGAAATGTCTAAAGTGCAAGATGATAACACATCTATTTCAAGTAGTGCTTTATACAGCAAAATTCTCATAGCCTTCCCCCTTAATCATTTCTGTCTCTTGCAATGTAACATGAGAACTAGACTGCAAAAGATTTGTGGGCAGTGTTTCGGCAGACAGTAAAGAAATAGTGTTTTATTTATTGACATTTTATAGTTTTTGAATTATGTCCATATTTGATTTTGGCATTGCTGTAGAACCTTACTATTTTTACTATTGTCCCATAGTTGTTACTTAGTAATTAATGACTTGTAGATGATAAAGCTAGTATGTAAATCTGCAGGAGATATCAAAGAATCCTTTTTAAAAATAATTTAATGAACAAGAGCTGGATTTGGATGTAAAGAGGAAGAAAGATTTAAAGTAACTGATGAGTTAACTGTATTCATGTGTTAAACGTAGTTTTGTCTCCAGTGTTCTTTGGTGAATGCATAGAGTACATAAGGAGAGGCAGTTCACAGATTTTAACATTTTTTTTTAATGTGATACCATTCAGAGCTGCTGGAGGTGGTTTCTCTAAGTAATTATTATATTAGGAAATGTGACAAGACATCTTTCATACTAAGAAGGTTAGAGGTTTTCTAAGGTGAGTGGTTACATGGCTGCAGTCAACTACTTTTACTCTTTGACACAGTAGTGTTCAGTTCTGTGTTTAAAGATGATCTAACGTTGTGTCATAATCATCCTTGTGTTAAGACTCTGAGTGCATATGTTAAAGGGTTTAGTTTTCTTAAAAATAAAATGAAAATGTTGAAATATATTATTCGTTAAACTTCTTCTAATTCTATGATCATATAATTATTTGTTGAATACAACAGATCAAAAGATTTCCCAGAAGACTGTGTATTTTCCAATATGATCTTAATTTTATTGTTTCATATAATTTTTCGGTGATAAAAGCCTCAACTTCGTTTTTTAAATTTTAGATTCAGGGGTACATGTGCATGTTTGTTACATGGGTATATTGCATGATGCTAGGGTTTGAGCTTCTATTGAACCCATCACACAGTGAATGTAGTACCCAGTAGTAGTTTTTCAAGCCTTGCCCCCCACTTGCCTCTCTTCTTTTGGAGTCCCTAGTGTCTTTTGTTTTCATGTTTCTGTCCATGTGTTCCCATTGTTTCCTCCCACTTATATGTGAGAACACACAGTATTGGGTTTTCTGTTTCTGTTAATTTACTTAGAATAATGGCCTCCAGCTGCATACTTGTTGCTGCAAAGGACATGATTTCATCCTTTGTCCTTTCTTATGTCTGCGTAGTATTCCATGGTATATATGTAGCCCATTTTCTTTAATCCACTGTTGATAGATACTTAGTTTGATTCCATGATTTTGCTATTGTAAATAGTGCTTCAATAAACATAAGAGTGCAGATGTCTTTTTGATAAAACTGGTTTTTTTCTTTTAGATACCCAGTAATGGGATTGCTGGGTTGAACTGTATTTCTATTTTTAGTTCTTTGAAAATGTGCCATACTATTTTTCATAGGGGTTGAATTTACATTTTTCAGAAAAGTACCACTCAGATGCTAAGAAATTAAAGTATAGTAATATATACCAAGAATATAATGTCTACATAATCAATATGAACATTGTTTTAATATACCCAGCTGTTATTTTCCCTTTTTTGAGAAAGATTTTGAATAGTTTCTGAATACTGTTACTTTAAAGGTTCACTAATAAGATCAACCTGTTAGCAAAAACAAAAGACTTCTGTATACTCTGAATTCTAATGTTTGCAGTTTTCTAAACACATCATACTCTCTAGCCTTCTCTCAAACGTCACTTCCTTCAAAAACTCCTCTAACTCTTCATAAATAACATCCATGCTCCTATAACACACGTATATCTTTTTATATATAAATATTAGACATTTATTGTTCATAGTTCTGAAGGTTGGCAAGTCCAAGATTAAGGCACTGATGCCCAGGCTGGAGTGCAGTGGCACGATCTCGGCTCACTGCAGCTCCACCTCCCGGATTCACACCATCCTCCTGCCTCAGCTTCCCAAGTAGCTGGGACTACAGGCACCCGCCACCACACCTGGCTAATTTGTTTGTATTTTTTTTTAGTAGAAACAGGGTTTCACTGTGTTAGCCAGCATGGTCTCGATCTCCTAACCTCGAGATCTGCCTGCCTTGGCCTCCCAATCATATAGATTTTATATTAAATTAGCACAATTTGAAGAAATGTCATTGTAATAGATATATCTTCACTTTAAAGTTGGTGAAGCCTTCACTTTACCTAAAAGGATTCACAGCTTAGAGAAAAATCATTGTAACGTTCCTTGAACATAAAAACTCTTATGAGTTAAAATGCCGTTTAAAAATTAATGAATAAATTAATGAATATTTGAATTTGAAACAATGAATAAATTAACGAATAAAATAATAATGACTATTCAGTTTCAACACATTATGAAAGACTCTTAAAATGTCCATTGAAATGTTACAGTAGGTAGCTAGTCAGGTGTAAGCAAGGCGGGAGAGGACTCCCCACAACACACACCAGGAGTATTGCGTGACCATCAGTTGATGGTCAGGTGGTTGTTAACCATTTCTCTAAAGTAATAATTGGTCACAGCTGGCGCTAGGGAAAGGCGGTCGCATAATAGACAGAAAACACCTGAAACTCATCAGCAGCTTCCCAATGAGATTCCAGAATTATGCCAACATACAAAATCCCCAAGTCAAGAGGTCAAGCTGCGTACTTGTTTTCTCAAGTCGCCTGCGTGGCCCTCTTTCAAGTTGTACTTTCCTTCCTGTTCTAAATCTTTTTAATAAACTTTTGCTCCTGCTCTGGAAAAAAATGTCTATTTCAATGTCCACTGAAATAGTAATTAGCTTCCATCGGTGAAATGACTCTCTGTTCACAGATATTTAGCTTATTTTTCCACTTTGAATTTCACTAATTTAACCAATGCCTAAAATAAATCAATATTCCATGTAAAAAATAATCTTAATATGGTTATCTTCCTTCATATCTAAAGTTGGTGAGAAAAACTGCCTATCCATGCACAGCCATCACCTTGTGTTGATTTAAAAACATGCAGTTTTGTGTGAAACAAAACATCGATTTTTCAGTATTTTGATTTCTATTTTACAAGTAAATTTCGTTAAAATGTGGAACTTTCAAGTTTATATATGTTTTGGGGTGAAATTCACTTTTGAATCAGTTTTAAAGCAACTGAGCATATATACCAGCTGGGCCCTTTTAAATAACCTCAGAACAAAAGTTGTATTTTCTACTCTTAAACAGAGAATTCTGGTGATGATAACAAACAACCTCTATACATTAAAGAATATGTGATCTGAAAAACACTTCATCTAATATAAAGTTCCAAGCACGTACTAACTGTGTAATACAAAGCTTTGCCCTTACCTGGTAGTAGGCCGTTTTTGTAGGGCTTTATCCAGGATAAGAGATGGAGCGCTCCTCCTCCTTTCTGCTACTGTTTTCATTTTCTGTTGATGAAACAAACCAAAATGAAGACCACGTGGCTTGTAAGGCAAGACAATGTTGATTTTTTTCAATCCAATTTAACAAGTTTTGCATTGCCTATCTTTGCCTATCAAGGAGCCTACAGTTTCATTATGGAGACAAAACTGTAACATCTAAAATAGAATAGTTTAAAGACAAAACAGGACAATAAGTGTCAAAAAGTGGTAAAGGCAATAAGTATTTTTTGTGGTCAGAGAATAAAGAGGTTAAATGTTTACCAGAATATTTGGGAGAAACACCATCATAACCATTATTACTGGTTATCATATGTCCGGCTCTAAGCTGAAGGCAGGACATGGATTATCTTATTTATAATCCAAAATGTCATCTGGGTAGATACTACTATCTTTATTTCACAGGCAAATTTGGCTTCAAGGAAAGACAAGTAAAGAAGAGGCAAAAACAGTTAAAGCAAAGGCACAGAGACTAGATTTTTGCAAAACTATTAACACACTTGGGAATCCCTTCTTCCAAATAGACTTTTTTAAAAACTGTAACTTCAAACAATAAAAAATCTTTTTTCTAGGTCGTATATAAATATAAGCAACCAGATAATTCAGGTACTCTGTTCCAATGACCTAAAATTGCAGGAAATGAAGTTTACTCAACTTGAATTATTCCGATAATTACTCTCTAAACTTAGTCTTATATATTTAACACATCTAGATACAGCCACTGGAGGCAGATGAGTAAAATTAACCATATAGTCACAAACAGCCATAAGCGAAGTTCAGGCTGTATTATCAAAACCATTCTTCTCACCCTGTATCTTTATGCCCTTTCATCCCTCCCACCCCTGTATCCTCGCCAAAGGTCTTACCCACTACCTCTAGGTCAGTCATGCTTGGGAACTGGATGTTGCTCCAATGGGAACCATATAAAACTAGCCAGCTCAGTGTCAGTATCCTATTATGTGATTCATAAAAGAACGGCTTGTAGTTTTAAAAGTAAAACAATGATTCTAGCATAGGAATAAAGAATCATCCAGTGGGAAGAGGATGCTAGACTTCTTTGGCACAATTCTTGTCCCACAAATTCTCCATGCTTCTAGGGATCTCTCCCAAATTACTGTCACCACTGCTCTGGCCTTGGTGTTGCTATTCCACTCCTTAATCTTTTGGCTCACATGTGGAAGCTATAGGCCCAAATCTCCTTAGCACAGCTGAGACAACAGCTGAAATAATTATGTAAAACATCAATAAACGACAGGAAACACATGGGTTAAAAATAGACACTATCAAACATCTCAATTGGGAGTTATTAACCACAAATAAATTTTAGGCCAGGTTACTTATATAAAAAGTTTTTGTATATTTGATGTCTTCCTTCTAGAGAAACAGCCCAGAGTTATCATCAGATTCTTAGAAAAGTCTAATCCTTTCCAACACTGGTGATTTCAATAATCTAATTTATATATTATAGTGTGCAAGCTCCATCTCACTATTTCCATTACTCACACCTCTTAGGAACATAATCTTCAGGAATCTAAGATCCTTAGGCTAGTGTGACTGCTGAGGTTACAAGCAGAAAGGAAAACTGGGAGATAAGTATTTGTATTGCAAGGTACAGCAGCACTTCCTCATGTAAAGAGTCTCAATACTGAAAGACTGGATTGATTTTACTAAGAAAAGTGGCAGTTTGTTCATATCCATCAAGCTATGTTCCCGATTTTTTGTAGGGTTGTGTTTCATCTTCAGGCCTGGAATTGATTCTTACTCTCTATCCCGATTCCCTTTACAGGACCAATTTACTACTTTGAAGTGTGAAATGTACCCACTCTTGTAAGCTTTACCTTTGTCCCTTACACTCTCTGTCTGCTTTGTCCTTGAGGATCTGCCATTCAGCAGTTTTACATCTGCTTTCTCTAACCTTCTGAAATCACTGTCGGCAGATCCAAGATTCTAAACTAGATCTTCATTAGTACATAGTTTCTAATTCTGAGCTTCTTGGCTTTCAGGTTTATGAAGAATTTGGAAAGGATTCAAAAGACAGTGTAAAATGATTTAAAATGTGAAGAAAAAAACCTATGAAAAAGGATAAAATGATCTGAGATTCTTCATTTAGAAACAGTAATAATCTCTCAAAATTAATGCAGAACTATAATATGGAGGAAAGTAAGCATCTTCCAAGGAAGATGAGGCAAAAAGAAATGGGGAGAAACATGGAATGAAAATCCAGGTTGACCTTGGGTAGTGGTTTATTGAGAAATCTATAAAAGTTGTGAGCTAAATTTTGCATGCAACTTCAGGGGTTCAGAACTCCCATAAAATGGATTCCTTAGGGATTTATGAACCTCAAGTTAAGAAACTTTCTGATGTAACAAAATCTTCCCGAGAATGATAGCTGTTAAACATGAGAATGGATAATCAAAGAAGGGTGACAAATTTTCTTCTGAAAAGGTGCTTTTGAAATGGGTGTTTTTCATATAAATCTATTGTAGAAGATCATTTGTATAATAGTGAATAGACCGTATTTTCTGAGTTTTAAAATTGTCAGATGTGTAAGGGGTCAAATGCTGAGTGTAGCCACCTCATCCAGCTTGATTTATATTGAAGAGAATGCAATCAAACTACCAGCAGGTAGTTTATTTTTATTTCAGGTTCCATTGTTCACACTCAGACTTACTCTATCATTAATGAGATGTGCAACCCAAGGCAATTCAGCCACTTCTCTGGGCCTCCATTTCCTTACCCACAAAATGAGACAGTTTGGACTACATAGTCACTTAGATCCCTTCTATTTCTAATAGTCCCACATTAAGTGTCCACCAAAGATTCACCATGGATATGCAAGAAAATAAACATTACATGAACCATACATTTAGGATTCACAGGATTCATTCTAAATAAGTAATAAAAGTCTTACAAGCAGCCCATATAACCAGGGGATTAATAGATTTAGATATTAATTCATTCAAAATACACTGATCTCTTTCTTTTGCTCAAAAGTGTAACCAAACAAAGGGCCAGTAATAACTTCAAAATAAATTCACTGATCTCTTAAAGAATCTGTTCTCAGGCAATGAAAACTTAGATTTTCTTGTTTATAACAACTATGTGAAATACATCAAAATAGAATGAAACTATTGATTCTTTTACAGATGTATAATAGTACAAACTTATCAGGACAGGTTTAGGTTATGCTTATCTTAGCACCAACAAATTTCACAGTTGTTCTGTGACAGGGATAACTATAATTCCTTGCCTCGCAGAAAACAAAGTAAACTACAAACAGTATATGGTATATATTTTCTGTTGTACTTGATGTTTATAACTAGATGACCTCATACATAGTGGATACCACTGTGAAATAGAATATATTTAAAAGGTAATGTTTTAAAGAAATGATAAGCTATACATTTAGGCAAAATACCCAATTAATTAATTGCATTAATCTTTTGGGAATGAGTTTAATATCGTACCACTTACCTAGTGTTAAGTATCCCCAAAAACTAAATAATAATTTTATGTGAGCTAAGAAACAAACAAATATGAAGTAGTATCTATTTACTCCTCTGTCCCCCAAATGGGAAAAAATGAGGAGGAGAATGGAAGAAGTTCTAAAATGGAATAAAGAGTGATTAAATTTTAAAAACTGTTGTCTATTTACAAATGGCCCTTTATTAAGAAGGTATAACATGAATACTAGAGAGAAATTATGACGTTGGTATACAAGTAATTGCTGTTTTTGCCATTACTTCCAAAGGATCTTTGACCCTCTGCTGTCTCCTCTGCAGTTATATTCAGTATTGTAGGTCAAAAAACCTATTATGCCTAAGAGTAAATGAATAAAGGTCATAACTGAATATGAGAACCAAATGTCAGTAATTTGTTTTTGTCTTTTACATTTAAATAATAACACAAATCTGCAGCAACATTATCAACTAATCTGCAAGGTGCTTTCCACTTCAAGTCATTTTAAATACATGGATTAATCACATATGCAACTCCCTGTGTTCCTTCATATGTGATGCCTCAGTAGTAGCATTTCACATTACACTTATGTTTCTGACCCTTTCTAGAGAGCAGGGGCTATGTCTTCTTCCGAAATTTTCTCCCTTCCTTCAACAATTATTTACTGAACTCTACTCTGTAGCAAGCATATTTTTGCATTCCCAAATCCTGGTATAAGGTCTGGCACAAACTATACACTCTATAAATGAGGGTTTTATGTGAATTACAAAACCCAGTCATTCACCACATAAATACTGCCATACCCAAATGCACACATATGAAAACAAACAAACCTTTAAGGGGCTCTGCTGGAATGGTGTCATTAAGAAAAATGTAAGCATTTGCAAGAGTATATCTGCACTGTAAACTACACCTTTGGAACACAGTGTTGACACTTATCACTTTGAGCTACATAGTAAACATCTGCCTGACAATAAAGTTAATCATTTGTCAACAGAAAAAATGGTGCTAATTGGATATCCACATACAAAAGAATAAAGCTGGACCCCTACCTCAGACTATATACAAAAATTAACTCAAAGACCTAAAAGTAACAGCTAAAAACTATAAAAATCTTAGAAGGAAACACAGGCATAATCTTGTCATCTTGGATGAGGCAGTGGCTTCTTATTAATAGATATGACACCAAAAGTACAAGCAACAGAAGAAAAAATCTAGACACTGTCAAGATTTAAAATTTCCATGCTTCAAAAGACACCATTAAGAAAGTGAAAAGACAACCCACAGAATGGGAAAGATTTTATTGCAAATCACATATCTGACAAGCGACTTGTATCTATTATAAAGAAATATTAAAACTCAATAATAAAGGCAAATTGCCCAATTAAAAATGGGCAAAGGATATGAATACAGTCTTCCAAAGAAGACACACAAGTTGCCAATAAGGATATGAGAAAATGCTCAACATAATTAGCCATCAGGGAAATGCAAATCAAAATTACAATGCGATACCACATCACACACGTTAGGATGACTATAATAAAAAAAGA